AAACTAGTGATACAAGAAATGTGTAAGGACATCTGTTCTGTAACCTATGGGGCTTCACTCACAAAACAGTTGTAAAATCTTCTGGGGGAGAGAGAAATTTCTCTATATCTGTGCAGATGCTTTATTGTAAGAAAAATATCAATGGAAGGAAGTGTTGAGTCTTTAAAAGAGGAAATTGTTCACCAGATTCACTGTCAAATGTTCCATTATTTTCTTTCCTTTTCAGTTAACCCAAGTTATCTGCCACTCACAAGTTACATTTAAGCCAAGTGGTGTAAATCTGTTGGGACTAATAGAATTGAATCATGGATTAAATTAGCCCAATGTCTGCTTGTAACTCTTCTTCGCTGCAGATTACTTGGGCTCTGTGTCACCCTGCTGACTATTCAGGTCACAGCCTCTCAGCTACCAGCTTCCTTCTTGAATCCAGCATCTTCATGTCTGCCTAGGGCCATGACAGGGAGAGGAGAAACATTAAGGACATCGATAAGATCCTAGTATTGTTTACTTACCAACTTCTCTCAGCTTTGCTGATCCTTCAAAATGTAAGCAAGCTATGGGAGAAAGAAAAGGAAGAGTTTTTAAGACACTGCAAGGCTCCCTCTACCATTCATCCACAGCCTTTCAGTCACATCCCACAAAAGGGATTATAAAATATAAAAAAAATATAAATTATAAAATGGAAAGAATCTTTCCCAAAATTCAAATGTTGTTGCAAAAATGAAGATATAAGCAGTTAGGTTTCCCTCACAGGTATCTTATGGAGATAGACACATAGTTCCATGAAAAAAAAAATCAGATCGCAAATAAACCTGGAACATGTTAGGAACTGGAAGGTCTTCATCTGTGTGTATGTATGTAAGTCCACACAAGTAAACATATCTTCCCTTTGTGCATTTCTGTATACATGCAATTTTGAGTGTGGACAGGTTAAAACCAAGTGGAAACTTGATTAAAAACTTCTTCATCAAGAGAAAACAACAACAATCACCAAGAACAATAATTTTAAATACATACAAATTTAAATAGTTGCTTAGCTTTGGGACACTAAGTCCTCAAACTCACCTCTACAGCTGTGACTGGGAGGTGTGGGAGGTTGGGAGGACTAGGGGAAAGAAAGTTCAGATCTGGGAGCTGTGAGCAGCTGGGGAACCTGGGTGGGAGAACATTTAGGAGCAGGAAAAAGTAGGGGCCTCGTAGGGGGACATTTGTAGAGGTGACTGCCTGTTCTGTAAAGGAAGTCAGAGTTCTGGGTTGGATAGTAAGGAGAGGAAGACCAGAAGCTCTGGAGTGACCTGGAAAAGATGTGGGACTGAGGCAGAACATGTGGGGTGTGGGGACTCGGTAGTGGGAAGCATGAGCTCTTGAAGAGACCATTGGCTGCCAGAGCAGCAAAGGTGAGAAGCCCAGCAATGAGGGACAGTGTAAAGGCTGGCTCTTCAACAGTGCCCACATAAACAGCCTGACACCTTTACTTGGAAGGTCAGGGATACAAGTATAGAACTACTTTCCTGTTGCTTCCTCTCTCTGATATTTTGCTTCAGAAACATAACAGATCTGAGATTTTATTGTTTATATCACATTTCAGTTTGGGAAGGGCATGACTTGAAGAAGAGTGAAACAGAGAAACGAGATTGCACCACATACAAGCATTAGGATGTGGATGTTGTGTTGGTATTAAACTTGTTTATAATTAAACACCTTGATCATACCTTCATTTTGTATGTTTCCTCTAATTGTTCCATATTTAATTCCTTGACACTCATTTAGTAATGATCCATGCTTACAGGCAAAGAGTTCATTATTCTATATCGCAGTATTCCATTGATGTTAGAAGAGAAGAGGTGCCCTCATGATCTGTTTCTATTGAGACAGTGGCTAATATTCCTCCGGAAAGTTCCAAAGCAGATTTTCTGCAAAGCAACCCTGAAAGCTGCTCTGTAATTTATGTGGTATGCCTTGCGATAGCCAGTTCTCTGAGTAAAACAGTAGTAAGTAACAGATGTACTCAGAGCAATTCTAGAAGGAATTGGGAAGTTCGAGTTGGTCTAATTAATCTCTTGACGATTTGGGAATTTCAGAGACCACTGATCAAGAGCAGACTGTTCTGCATACCATATGAACAATCTGTGATCTAATCTTAAATGAAACATTACTTGGCTCTACTCCTTACCAGCTATGATCAGGGCCCTTTCGTCCAAGCCACTGTACAAACAAATAACCTGAACAAACAGTTCTTCCACAACAAGTTTACAAATCACACATCAGACCCGGAAGCTAAGAATGGATATGAAAAAGTAAACAAGGTGGATTGAAAAACAGAGGAGGTAGCAGTAAAACTGTGTAGGAGGAGCAGATGTCTCAGCTTCCTTCTCTCTTTACAGTGCTGCCTGGTAATGGTTTTTGGACTATTGTACATAAGAAGGGAGATCCTGATAGTTTTGCTAATGTGCACCAGGAAACATGGATATAAGAAGACAGGAGATTCTTGTGTGCCAGTCCCTACTCATGGAATTGATTGCTAACTCATGACAGACTGAAGTGCAATATAGAAACAGTCTTGTACAAGAAAGCACAGGAGCCCAAATTGTGGAAGTGGTAAATTTCCCTACCTTGGTCAGTTTTAAGAGTCAGCTTGACAGGGTGCTGACTCATCTCATTTAAACTATACTTTTACCTCAAGAGGTTGGACTAGATGATCCTTGTGGTCCCTTCCAACCTGGGATTCTATGCTTCTATGAAATTGTTCCCCTTTCTCACATGATGACTAGTGCTTGCATTGTGCTGAAAAGGATCCCAGGGAGAAGAGGAGAAGATAGAAACGGATGAAGAAAAGTGTTGCGTTACCTGAGCAAACAGAGAAGTTGAGAGTAGATGGAAACCCTTCTTGCCACTAGAAGAAATTAGTTGGGTTGAACAAACAGTTATTTTGCTGTGGAGTCAAGATCCAGCATGGAAAGGCAGATGGTGATTAGAGCTTATAGGAGTTGAAAACGCATGTCTAAAACTGCAAGGGAGTTACCACTATGAGGTGGCAGAGAAAGAGCTGTCTTATAAAAAAATGCAAATATATCAAAATGTCAAGAAAGCCAGAAGAAATGAGGAAAGGGAGAATTCATTCACTGGAGAACTCAATAGGTGATAAAAGTGAAAGATCCTGTAATGAGAAAAGTTGCTACTGAGATGAAGCTGAAGCTCAGCCTCTAGCCATAGCATGAAAAAGGGATAAAAAGAATGATGCGAGCAGCAGAGATTTTAAGATCAAGGAGAAAATTATGTCAATGGATGGGAAGAAGGAACAAGTAGAGAGCACATTAGCTTAGCACAGGGCCCGGAACACATGGTAAAGTTAGAGTGGATGGGTAAGTAACAGTGATAGTCTGAGGTTTAGCAAAACACTTCAGGAAATGCTTTGCTTTTTATTTGTTTGCTAAGGCAAAAACTATAAAACTTCACAGACTCAAAAGATTCCACCTTTATGCATTATGGATGGGAAGTACCTTGTACAGCCTTCTGAAGCTTTAGCAGCTAGTCACTACTGTAGACAAATCTGGAATTCACAGTCCTTTACTTTAGGACAGTCTGGCAATTTTTGTGCTGTTATTCATCGCACCAAAATACACATTGTCTAATAATATTTAAGTTGTATAAACATACCTTTCCAGGGAGAGAGAGAATCCAGGCAAAGAGCTAGTATGAAAGCAAATCTAGTACTTCATTAAAATGGCAGGTCCTGTTTCAGACACAGTCCCTGCTCTCCAAGAGGAATAGGAAGTTAAGATAGAGACATGAATTCCCAACAATTAAGAAGAGAGCAACTTCCAATTTTCTGAACAGCAGTTGATGCCTCACCATGAAGAAAGTGCCATAGGACCTGCAGTCAGTTCTAGTGTTTGAGATATTACCTTAGTGCCCATGTCTGTGAAAAATTGCCATTCACCTCCCTGTGATTAGTGCTGAATGCATCTTAGGTGGGAGTGATTAAACAGAAAAATAATTTTTAAGTTCTTGATAGCATTTCACCTTGAAGACAGAACTGTCCTCAACTGTTTTATTTTACTGCTGGGTGTGTTTACAAAGTCAGCCACGTGGTGTCTGAGAGTTTCATAATCAGTCTTTGCTAAATTAATTACAAAAAAAATCATTTGTCTGTCAAAGCGATTCGGAAGGAGAGAAGAACAACTTTGAGCCCTAAAGCAGGTCTCATGAAGATAAGAGAGAAGCTGGTCTGTAAAGAATGCACTTGCGCAGGAAAACATCAGCTAAAAATTGATCATTCTTCTACTGCCAATGCTTCATAGTCATCCCACATTGGCTCACCCTGTTTAGCACATTTCCCTGACCTATGTCTAAGACATCAGTCTGCTGTGTTGTTAGACATCTGGCCTTGGAGTGTTGGCAGTGTCCTGCTGACCCTCTTCCCATTGCTCACACCTTCTGCAATCATCTACAAGACAAGTGTTTGTCTGTAGGAGCTCCAGAAACTGTGGGCTCTAGGAAAACACATGGGGAAGCTGGAGAGACTTCACAGGCCAGAAAGGCAAGAATCATAAAAAGATATCCTGCCCAGAGAGGTTGTGGAGTCTCCTTCTCTGGAGACATTCAAAACGGACGCCTTCCTGTGCAACCTCATCTAGATGTTCCTGCTCCGGCAGGGGGATTGGACTAGATGATCTTTTGAGGTCCCTTCCAATCCCTAACGTTCTGTGATTCTGTGATTCTGTGATATCATGTTCTTGTAGTTCAGGTAGTTGATAGCACTTACATTAACACAAATGGAAGTCATTCATGTATCTAAGAAGAAGAAGATATCCTCAAACCTGTGCACAAGCACAGTTGTTTATCATGGAGCTGTTATATACCCACTCTGTTAACTCTGTAGCCTAAATGGCTTCAACATAAAGGAAATTATTTAAATCTAGAATATCAAAATGCACACCTTCATTAGGTGTTAATACAGTTGTGTCAGTGGGTTTTTTGACAGCTCATTTTTTCTTTAGGCAGCGTTAAGTGCCTTGAAACAGTTTTCAGAACAAGGACTGGATCCAGTGGAAGGGGCTATGAAAGTTGAAAATGGATCACATGAAAAGTAAGTACCATTTAAATCCCCTGAATTTTAATGCCTGTGTGGCATGGTAGATAAGAAATGTTAATTAAGAGCTTAGTTGCCCTTTTAAACCTGTGCAAAAATATTTCCTTTGGAATTTACATAGAGTTTGTGACAGTTTGAGAGGATAAACAAGATTTCAGGTTTAGCATTACTGATACTGATAATGTTTACTTATGAGCTATGAGACAGTCAGTCCTATGGAAATCCTAAAGAAAAGGATTTTCTTTTCGTTGTATGGATTCTGTGTGAGTAGCATAACATGATTTTTGTCAAATGTGTTGTAGCACATGATATTGCCTGCAAATAAGGATAGCTATATCTGCTAATAAGTCCTTATGTCCACAAGATGAATTTTACACTAGAGAATTTAAAAGTTAAAATTTCCTTAAAGTCTTAAAAAACTCTTATAGAACATTAGCTTTAAGTAGTAGACAATAAAACCAAGCTTCACACTGGATTTTCAATTATTTGAGAAATTGGGATTGTCTGTCCGGTATAGATTTTTTTCCCAGCTGCTAGTCTGTTTACGTAAGAAGGTAGTGTGTTACAAAATAAATTAGGAATTAAAAGAATAAGAGAAAGAAGGCTAAAAGTGGCATTTTGAATTTTCAATAGATATATTGTGGCTATTTATGAACTAATTTAATCAGAAACATTTTTCCATATGATCTCACCAGCATAGTATTTGAACATAAATATTGTTGTTTCACTTTAAAATGTTACCTTCCACAGTGACCTTTGAATCTCATGTGCCATCTGCTAATAAACATGTCTTAAAGATGTGCAACCCTGAACCTCACCACTCTCGTTAATGTATTAATCTTTCAGACAAGTCAAGCATCTGGGAGAGAAAGCAGACAATAAACAGACTAACTCAGGCACCATCGCTCAGGACTGCAAGGATTCAAAGGCTGTCGTCTAGGAGCTTCCCAGCACCCACGGCTGCCACTGCATCCTTATAAACCTGTCAACACGCAATAGGGTGTATGTGTACAAGGAAATGAATGACTAATAGCATTATATGAGTCTTATGTGAAGACAACACTATTCTAACACAGGAGTTAGTATACATGGTACTGTTTATTCAACTGTGGAAAAAAATAAAATTGAACATTTCCCTTAGAACTCAAGATCAGAACATAATGCACTTGCCCAGAGGCAGAAGAAGTCTGATCATGTTACTGGAGGTTAAAATAACAACTGATTTTAAAAAAAGTGTTTTGAAAAAAGGAAAACTTTAAAATTTATTAATATTAAGGAAAACAAGTCAGCATTGGTTCAGTTATACAATTTTTCGTAGTGTAGATTTAAGTTCAGCTTACTGTTTTCTAAATAATGCTTGAATATTTTAAAATTAACCAATGACAGTGCTGTGAGAATTGTAGTTGTTGTCTTCATATATAGTCATACAGCTTATCTTTTTACGCAGACATTATGCATTCTTCATTCTATATGAATACGTATGACTTTAAGATGCACTGCTCAGAGTTGTATGCAAACAGAAGTTTAAATCATGACAAGTATTTGCTTAACATGAACAGATGTTAGTTATGATCAGTCTTGATATACTCCAGGAAAAAAGCAGATATGGTATTTTATTTTCCTTGCCATAATCAATTAGAGAGGCGTCTTGCCTCCAGGCAACATTTTCCCCTTCAATTCTGCTCTCTGTTGTGTGAAGCACATCTACACCCCATTCTGTGTGTTGTACCAACCCACCATTTGCATCAACTGAGTGTTTTTAATCTCTGCATTCGGACCAAGAGCAAAAGGTAGGACTGCAACATCATCAAGCTGAGGATAGAAAACTGTTGTAAAGATCGTTCTTTTGTGAAGGGGCAGCAGCAGAGATAAGACCTGTGGCTGCTCTTTACCAGCATATTTCTTCTAAGTGTGTGGCCAAATGCAGTAAAACCACATCAGTTCATGTGTACAATGACAGTGTTGTCTCTTTCTTTATTGTTCACAGGTAGGCAACTAAAAGAATGAAGTGAAAAAAAACCCAATTACAATCTAATGAATGACTGGCTACCATGCCAAAGCCAGGGTTCAAACCTACCTTTGCCCGTGCCACCACCTTCTACAAACTTACTGTGTTAGACTAGTCAACTTGGCATTTAAGTACTTTATCCAAAATACAGACATTTTATTTTATGTAAACCTGATGCAATAAACATACAAAGCTCCTACCAACTGCATAATAGTCACAAGAAGATTACACAAGATTTCAGAAGCACGTAAACCAGAGATCACAACCCAAGTGACTCACGCAGGAAAGCAGATAAACAGCAGTGTAAGGAAATGGTGCAAGGTACGGTGCCATTGATTCACCTCTGGGACTGGCTTTCAGGGTAGCATGTATCATGCTTTTACAGAATCTGTGGTCACTAAAAATTTTGAGTCTTTTTTTTCTACTTCATGTTTCTCATGGGAATTATTCATCCCTCATCAGATGAGGAGCCTTTGTTCTAAAAGTTTGCCGTTTTCTAGAGTCTGACTCCATAAAAGGGTTAGGAACAAACTGAGTCTTTCAGTTCCCACAGAACTGGGAGACTTCCAAAAGCATTTGGCACCTGGGAGGCTCAAGTTATTCAAGGACCAGCATACAAAAATACTTAGCTCTTGCACATCACCTTTCTCAGGGATATTTTACCTGCCTAATTGGCAACCAGAGCAGAAATTCTGCTACTCCTTTGCCTCAACAGCCAGCTCAGAGAGCTCAGAAATATTTTACTGCTTTAGCAGTACCTGCCAGTGCCAGTGTGAGGAATACAAATGGCATTGCTGTCCCCTCCCATGGAGAACAAGAACAAAAGGAAAAGGCAAACCTATTCCTTGACAGCTCTGTCCTAAGTGCAAGAGGCTGAGCTTGCTCGGGAGAATGTGACCAGCAGACTGGCAGTGTAGCCTCCTTGGCATGAGCAGCACCTCTGTGGTGTGTTCCCTGCCCTGTCACTACAGAGAAACCCTTTGTACTGGCTTGCTCAGAAGCTCAAGTTATGGCTTGATACTTGGTGCCATTCTCTAAGGCAAAGCCACAGAAATGTGCCCAGTAAACTTCAGATTAGTTGCTTTGTTGCAGATGCCTTCTGTATTGAGTGTCAGGCTTGCTCCTGTGCCTTTGGAGAACAGCAAAGTGACACTCGCCTCAATCTAAATGAGCGAATTGTGATCAAATGCATGCAGACAGCTGTCTAGGCCCAGGATGGCTCATTTGGTCCCCCCAGTAAAGACAAAAGTAAAGAAAGATCATCCCTATGAAACTGTCATCATATTGGGTCCTCTTACTGGTCAGGAACATTCTTGATTCTGACTGAAAGAAAACAAGGCAAGTAACTGAGTTGCTGGGGCTCGTAGTTTGGCATTATCACTAGCAACCTCCCAAGAGCACCAGAGGTGTGGCAGCTGGTGGACTTGTGTCTGATCCTTGGTCTTGCTGGTTCACAGCTGCTCCTCTTAGTTCCCAAGCTTTATTTTTCTTTCAGCAGCCTGATTTTTTTTCTGATTTCCTCATAAAATCAGATAAGAGTTGGTAAATAGGGGCACATGGAACAGAGCAATCTTTATATTTAGTTTTGTTTAATAATTAGCTAATGGTGGACACTGGAAGAGTATCGATATGTTTTTAATGTTATTATTAGTTCTCGAAGGGTTGGGTTTGCATTTCTAACAGCACTTAATATTATTTTTTTTACTTTCATTTTTTAGATTATACTGCCTTTGAGGGTTAAGCCATAACTTTGTCAAAATTCTGTTTGCAGAGCACTAAGAATAGTTTAGTTCCCTGTTTAGCAAGCATTGCATACCCCTTGTCCTGGATCTGAGAGCACTTTCAAAGATGAGCAAATGCCATATATTTAGAGATGTGGATCTGAGGTGCAAACTGGTGCTTAGGAATAAGGCAGGAATAAGGAACAAGGTTTAAGATAGGCAGTCTGCCTATCTAACAGACTGCTGAGGCCACTGTGGTGAACACTGTGTTCAACGCTTTAAAGACTCAGAACCAAAATTATCATCAGTTCTGAATCTACAATGCTCACTAATTGGGAGGAATTATGCTAAATTGAAAATAGGACCCTCACGTATCCTCTCAGAAGTTCTTCTCAACACCTTCTGGGTTTCAGTGAACTAAGAACTTGCACAGGAAAAGCCTCATCACTGAGTGAATGGGGGTGTCTGATAGGACTTAAAGGACAAGAACTCACACCGTTAGTTTTATATCTGAGTTATCATCTCAAATTTCACACTGACCTGTCAACAACTCAACACACTCTGGAAATTTCTGTCCATGCATTGATATATGTAGCACTGATTTCCACAAGGACAGATGTGTTGCTCCCAAAGAATGCAAACCACAGAAGCATTGGAGCTGTAGAGCTGGAGAGGAGGGTGCAGATTTCTGTCTCCAGCTGTCCCTTCATTCCCCAGTTTACAGAGGAGCTGAATTTAACCCTTCAGCTATAGTCCCCACTGAATTTAACAGAGAATTATAGTAATAGGATTTAAAAGGTTTAGCGCTTGTCAGCAGCATTTTTAAAGGGTCTTTGGATAATGAATAGGGAAGAACCTCAGGAGCTCTTGTTCCTTAGAGACATGGTTTAGTAGTGGTCAGGTTACGGTTGGACACAATGATCTTAAAGGTCTATTCCAACCAAATGATTCTGTGATTCTATTATTCCCTCTGCTGTCTTTCTCATCTTAGCATGAGGAAAGGGCTGAGCCACAACAGATTTTAAAAATCAGTAGGAGAGTAGTTGGGATGAATGACTGCAGGAATATGGAATCCCCTCCTCTTTGGCCTGAAATGACAATGAAATCGAATCCTTCCAAAAGTGTATGCAAAGCCCTTGATCTCTCTGACAGTACTTTACCACATCCATTTTATTGGCGGGTGGCTGCTTCTTGTTGTTCTCGTCTCCTTGGCCTGCTCCAATTCCCCATGAAACAGCAGAAAGTTTCCCATTTCCTGTAGTGAGAGTTGAGCAAAAGTTTTAAGCTGGATTTATTTTCCAGTTAACAGACAGAGGGTTGTTTTTTGTGCATGGTATTTTGTTTTGTTTTAGTTTTGTTTCAAAATTCTATGTTTAAAAATATGCGTGGTATAATTTACTTATCCTCTCCCAGAAACATCCAGCATTTCCCCATTCTCAGTTGTACCCCATAAATGATAAGATTTTCTTTGTTCAAACAGCAACGGTTTTTGCAACCCCAAAGAAAAATCAGCAGAGGCTGGAAGGTTATTTTTAATGATGGCGAAGATAGGGACTTGCATGATGACTTTATGTGCTCTGGGGGGGCATTGTTCTGTGACCAGTAGGAGTGGATAGTGATCATCCTTTACCAGCCTTCCTGCTCAAACACAGCAAGTTACCTGTACTGACCAATAGTGTTTGGTGCATATATTTGGTACAGCTCCCCAAAGACATCTCCAGAAGAGCTGGAAGGAGAGAAGCATGTCCTGAGTAACAGCTACCTCTGCCTTTCCCTCTCCACAGCCGACGAACCTCAAGATGAAGGGGTAATGGATTAGGCATGGGAAAACACGGATTCCCCTCTGGGTATTTACCTCTCATGCAGGTCCCTTTCTGTTTGTAACTGCATTCCTGAGGCGTGATACGAGCTGAGCAAGTGTGTACATCGGTAGATGAGACGTGTATGAAGTGTTTTGGTGGTATGATTTCTATTATTCCACATGAACGGCGCTGCCTTTCGTTTTTGATCATACAGCTTGTTATTTGCTTTATGCAGTTAGTCATGGTTGGCTGTGCGCTTTGGTGCTTGGTGTTTTAACTCCGTAGCAATTCAGTACAAAGGAAATTGTAAAAACAACAATGAGAATGTTTCTGTTCTGTTCTTAATTAAATAGACCTCAATAATCGATAGATGAGAAGAGAGAAAGCAAAACAGAATGGTTGCTAACCTGAAAATGTAACTTATTTAAGGGCCAAATTTTCCTTTATTTACTATAACCAGGATCTAGGGGAGCCTGAATGCCCATGAAGTTTTATCTGACAGCACATGATAAATGAGAGGAAAATAAACCTGGATAAAACAGTTTATGCCTCTCGCTGCAATATATTAAAAATATATTTGTGCATTAAAACAGATCACCGAAGCCTGC